TTGTCATTGACTGAAATGTCATTATATGGTACATGATGTCATCAGCATTGCGCCCTTCTTTCTTATCGCCTCCTGTGCTTTGCCAATCTCTTGTTCTTCATAGCACTTATCACTACTTAACATAATGCATCTACATTTAAACAGTTTTATTGAGTTATTATTAACATACCATACAATTCTTCTGTTTGAAGTGTGCAATTCAATGGTTTATAGTATATGTACAGAGTTGTGCAACCATCCCCACACCCAGCTTCAGAACATTTTCATTACCTTCAAAAGCCATAAAACTACCGTTAGCTATCACTCCTGAAGTCCCCCCATAGCACCCCCATTTTGACTAGCCCTAAATAACTTCTAATTTTGTCTCTATACATTTGCCCATTCTGGATAGTTCATATAAATAGAATCACACAGTCTGTAGTCTCTTGGGACTAACTTCTTTCCCTTTACATATTTTCGAGATGCATCTGCATTACATCAATACTTCATTTCTTCTATGGCCAAATAACATTTCAGCACAAAATATATCACATTTTATTTATCCATTCATCTATTGAGGAAAGATTGGGTTATTTACACCTTTTAGTTATTATGAATAACGGTGCTAGCATTAGTACATGAAGTATTCATACACAGCATTTTTGTGTGGACATGTCCCATGTCTCTTGAGTATATGCCGAGGAGTAGAACTGCTGGGTTGTATGGTAGCCCTGTACTTAACACTTGAGGAATTTTCCAGACTGTTTGCCAGAGTGTCTATGCCATTTTACATTCCCACCATTGATGTATGAAGATTCCAGTCTGTATATCCTCATCAACAATTGTTATTTTCCATTTTTAAAATTATCACCATTGCTAGTGAGTATGAAGTAGAATCTCTTTTGCAGTTCAATTTGTATTTCCCTAGTGGTTAATAATATTGGGCATATATACTTATTAACCATTTGTGGATCTCCTTTTGAAGAATGATTATTCAGACCTTTTGCCCATTTTAAAGAGCTATTTATATATTCTAGATACAAGGACAGCCTAATTAGATATATAATTATCAGTGTTTTCTTTTGCATATTGTCTTTTTAAGGTTAATATACTATTTTAATAGCAGTTTTAGGTTTACAGAAATATTATGAATTGCGTCTTTACTTTCTAGATAGCATATTTGAAACAAAAATGCTTTTAACCCTATGAACTAAAATTTATATTTATGTGTGTGTGTGTGTGTGTGTGTGTGCGCGTGTGTGCACATGCCTGTAATGTCATAGCTAAGAATCCAATGCCAAGTCTAAGGTTCCAAAGATTTTACCTATGTTTTCTTCTAAGAGTGTGATAGTTGCTCTTGCACTTAAGGTTCTGATCCATTTTGAGTTAAATTTTGTACATGGTTTGAGGTACAGAGCCAAATGTCATCCCAACCTAAACATTTATTTTTTTAAAAAAACTTCTCTATTTTAAAGCTCCATAAAGAGAGGATTTTTTTTTTCAGTTTTACTCAATGTTGTAACTATCCCCAGCATGTAAAACTACCTGACACATAGTAGGCCTTCAATATTTGTTGAGTAAATAAATGGTAATTAACAACAAATGCTATTTATTATCATTATTTTACCCTTTCAACCCCTGTGGCCTTCAACTCCAGCAGTTTAACATTCCAAAGACTAAACAATCTCTCACCTTGACTCTTCTTCCCAGATTTGGTCCTTCCTGGTTATAACCCTGGTCCTGCAAAGGACCTTTGGGTCATTTCAGCCCATCACCTACTGTCTGCAGGCTTCCAAGTACTTGTCCTCCCTCTCTCTGTCCCTCCCCAGTTCCCTTCTTTTTCTGGATCTTCCCACTCCCTGAGCCACTCTGCCCTCCAGGGATCACCTGGGCCCACCATCTTGATGACCCCTGAGGTTCACTTAGATTCTGACTTTTTACCAGGTGCCTTAGAGATTCCCATTAAATCCCCATGAGGTTGTTCGCTCTTGGTATTATCATTATTTTTAAAATGTGGACCTGAAACCTAAAAGATGTACTCAAGCCGCCTACAGGTTAATGATAACTTGTTAAAGATAACACTATAACCAGGACCCAGATCTTCTGTCTCCAAACAGGAACAATTCTCATGAGCAAAGTTCTTCATATTTTTCTTTGCAAAAGGAAAATTGTATTATATTCTCTGCATGCCTCCCCAAATTTCCAGTCCTCTGCTGTCAAACTATACATTTTTTTATATCTGCTAATTTTGGATAAGTTATTGCTATGTCAGACTCTGCATGGTTTTACATACATTATTATTCTACTCTTTAGTGATTTCTGAGGCTCAGAGAAGTTAATGGACATCCCCAAGGCTACCCAGCTAGTAAAGAATGGAGTTGGGACTCAAACCCCAGTTTTTAACAACCACTCTTTCCTATGAGAAAACCCCCATTATAAGTTCCTTTCTCCACAAGGAGAAACAAACCTCGTCCATGGAAAGACCATCCATAGAGTTCTCCCTCACTCTAGTGGGGAAGAAGGCTATGCATCGGTCCTTACCCCTCTCCTTTCTGAAACAAGGACCCTGAGCCCCTCTCTCCCTGGAATCCTGAGTCTTGTGCTTCCCGCCCTGGCCTGCCTGGCGTTCTGGTCACCCTCTTCCTCCTCCAGCTCTCCTAGCTCCTGAGCCAAGCCCCAGCCTCCTTTTTTCCCTCCTACCCCACTCTAGACCATTTTCATGCTTTCACTCTGAGCCAGAGGAAACCTGCAGCCCTCCCTCCTCCAAGAACAGGAATAGCTCGTGGCTCTGTAAAAGCTCTGTCCAGAGCCGCAGTCATTATTTCACTTTAGCTTGTCATGTCCCTTCTTTTAAATGACCCCTCTTCGCTCTCTGCAGCCTGCTCCCTGGCCCTCACTCATGGCAGTGGCTATCTTCTAATGACCCATTCTTGGACACCTTCAGAGGAGGACTTGCTTCCTGGGCCACCATTAGAGCCCCCTGTGTTCTGATCACAGGCTTCACTACTAAGCCTATAGCAGCTCTCAGCAACTGGACATTTAATGGAGATGTATCTTTCCCCCAGGATGGCTCTAAAAGCAGCACACAGTTAATAGTTTCTTCCGGCTGTTTTTTCCAAGGTAGGGATTGAACTGGTGAAAGGAAGAAGAAATACTCTCCTTATTATGTCCTAAAATAAATACTTGTTCAAATAAAATCATCATCCCTGTAATGTACAGGAAAAGAGGTGGGGGTGTTCGTTCCTGATTTCGATCCCATTATATTGGGGGTTGGAGGGGACAGGAACTTGAAGTAGATTAGAAGCATAAGGGCCTTAATGCTGGGGACAGGCAAACCATTACTTGATTATAAAACATTGGTACTAGTGTAACCTCTACTCTGTGTTCACTCCATTTGCATACTAACTTGCACAAGCGTTCAAATTAATCTGGACCTTACTCTTAGGTCAGATTCCATTTAATTCTCCTTATGATCTATGTGGCCCTATTTATTCCTCTAAATTATCTTGTCTGATCTAATCCATCCCCCTTAATCACTGCTGATTCAGCTCCCATTGTAATCCTCAATGAGAAGAATTAGTGTTTGTGAGTTAGGGCTGGGGGTGGAGGGAGCAATTATCAGGAAAAGAAGGAGCAAAGAAAAATAAGGAAGGCCATGGGCTCTGCTAGCAGAGCGTGAGTGTAGAGCAATCCATCTGTCAGAGCTTTTTCCTAAGGGTGCTGAGGGCTAATGGACTATATTTCCTTGTGGAGTATTTTTTACGGATGCTAATGGTCTATTTCTTACTGAGTTTTTTTTTCCTGATACACTACACTTAGAAGAAAACATTAAGGAGAACGGCTCTCACAACCCACAATTTACATTTCCTTTCTGCATCATTTGTTGCTCTCTGAGACACTCTTTGCAACACACACACACACACACACACACACACACACACACACACACTTGCACTAAACACTTACCACAGAATAGATCCATCTCTAAGCGCTAGTAATTACTTATATAGTTTAATTCTAGAAATAATTTTATCTGTATAGCTAGATAGTTGGTAGACAGGCCAGTTGTTCTGTAAAACATTTTTTCTTTTCCTCCAGGACACATGGTTGGACTACATTTCCCAGCTTCCCTTGCATCTAATTGGGTGTGGCCATGCGCCTGAAGTTCTTCCCAAAGTATTATGGGTTACCTTGTGGCTTGACCCTTAAACTACACAAACCTTAATATCCTTTCTCCTTTTGGCTTAAAAGGAAGGATTCTGGGAACTATATGATGGGAAGGGACTGAGAGCCACGAGAGAGAGATCCTGAGTCCCCAAATTACAGATAGATGAGGGCTATGCTTAAGTACCATCAGGCCAGGAATACCCAGGTTAGACTGTTGTGTGAACAAGACATAAGATTTTATTGAATTACACTACTAAATTTTGGGTTACAGCAGTCAGTCTACCTAACTTCTACAACCCCTACTCTATAAAATTGAGACTCCAAGAATTTATGTGATTCTCCCTAGGTTGGCTGGCTATTAAATGGCAGAGCTGAATTCATAGCCAGATCTTCTGACTGAAACCACTACTCTTGCCATCATACCACAGCTGCTTCATAATTGCTTCTGTTGCTTTCAAGGGAGCAAAAAATCTGCTGAAACAAGCAATCATTTTGTATGAGTGCGTTTACAGTTCATTGATGCTGTCCTAATTAGGACCTTAATGAAGATGGCTCTGGGGAAAAGAAACCTAATGCAGGGAGGTAATCAGGGCCAGATCCTGGACATCATATGAGAAGAGATTCTACAAAGTCATCTTTGAGCAGCCTTAGCTAAGACTGAAAGCCCACAGAGGTTGGCAACCGGGGTAGAAAATGGCTACACTACTCATTAGAAAAATGTCGATCAAATGTGACCCCTGGAAGAAAGGCAACTGTGAAAACGTAAGGAAGAACCCATATTGTGTCAGCTTTCCTCACTATAACAAATAACTCTAGACAGTCAGTGTATAAAGAGAAAACTATACTTTGGCTCACAGTTTTAGAAGTTGTAGTCCATAATCATTTGGTCCTGTTGCTTTGGGCCTGTGGTGAGACAGCACCATGGTGGGACCACATGGCAAAGCAGAACTGCACAACTAAGTAGGAGCCTGGAAACAAAAGAGAAGAGGAGCTGGGGTCACACTATTCCCTTCAAGGGCACAACTCCAGTGGCCTAAAGAACTCCTACAAGTCCCTATCCCTTAAATGTTCCATCATTTCCAATACCTTCACCCAGGGGAGCAAGCCATTCACACATGATCCTTTAGGGGTCATGTAAGATACAAACTACAGCACTTGGGAAGTCATTATGCACAGGCAACATACCAACCCATGGTGACCCACTTTTCTATTTGAAAATTTTCAATTGTTTCCCAATTGCTGTAGCATTTAAAAACAACAATTAAAAACTCCTTAACTTGCACTCAAGCTCCTCCATAATCCCCACTGTTACCTATGCAGTTTCAACTCTTTTCTTTAAGAATGGCACAGAAGCTGGGGGAGAGGCATATTATGCTCCAGTAATCTGGACTATCTTCATTCTCAGGGCACACCAAGCTCCAGCTCTTTGAAAATGCTGTTTCCTCTGCATAGATCCCCATCCATAGTCCCAGCACCATATGGCTCAGGTCTGTTATCATCTCTGTTTCCTGTCTGGATTTGATGCTGTTCTCCATACCGCACAGTCCCTTCTACAATCCTACATTGCAGTGTTGATCAGAATGCATTGCATGGTTCATTCTTGCCTCCTACCAGTCTATGCAATGTGTGTATCTTACTTCCCACAACCAATCATAGCCCATGGAACACAGTAGCAGTTCAACAACTATTGTCTGGGTGCATGGAGACATGGTAGAATAAGCAGGATCCTAAAGAAAAGTCATTGATATTATGGTAGACAGAATAATAGGCTCTCCAAAAATGTCAACATTTGATTCCTGGAACTATGTTACATGCTGATCAACCGACCTTAAGACAGGGGGATGATCCTGGATTATCCAGACAAGCCCAATGTAATCACAAGGTACTAGAAGATGGAAGAGGGAGGCCAACACTCAATGTCAGGATAATGAAATGTGAGAACAATTTG